TTGTGCATATATATTGTAATAAAAGAGTAAAGAGAGATATACTACACACACATATATGAGAGATATACTTTACATACTTATACATATGTCGACCGTCGAATTGAATTGAAGTATATAGATAGATAATAATTTTGAGTAAGCAGTGATAACATATTAAAATAAAACTACATGTACATATAAAGTATTATGAAAACGAAAGAGCTTCTGTGGATTTATAAGATTTATTGAATATATATCTAATGTTTAACAATTAGTTCAGTATGATGAGTTATGGCTTGTACTTCGGAACAACATCGAAAATCATCTTGATTTAAGTTGGATTCATATTTGGTCTCGCAGCTCTCCAGTCAGTTAATTATACAATATCGTTACATTTAACCAGGGGATTGCTGCAAATGAAAGTAGTCAACAATGTAATTACAATAGGGCCGCTTATCACTCGAATCCTGAACCTTTTATTAAATGCAAATCAACTTTTTCACTGCATTGTAACTCACTGCCTTCCGTCTTGTCACTTTTGATAGCGACTCTCGCCGACATGTGAGCTGTGATTTGCGTTGGTATTGTGCAAGAGTTGTAGATGTGGTTGCACTCACCTGTTTGACTGCAGTTGGAATATATTTTGGGGCACAGACAACATATCTGAGTTCAGGCACAACAGCTTCGTTCCGTTTATGGAACTGTACACCCTCAGCAGAGTGTCGTCAGTTGGCAATTTCCGCTGCTGATGACGCTGGTGTATTTTCGAGAATTGCTCAGCTAAAAGATTTGGATTCGGCCAATGGCTTCAAAGTACATTTTCTATCGTTATCAGTGCTTGCCTTACCCAGAATACACTTAAAAGTTGGCCCAACAGTTCCGTCAACAGTCTGCTCTGAAATTCCTCCGATTAATAGATCCACATCTCTCCAGCTTCGGTATATAGTCCTCAGTTTATCTACGATCTAAGATTGTAGTCGATCAAATCAACATGGGAAAATTAAGAGGGAGAAGGAAATATAGTGATTATGCCCTTGAAAACAAACAAACTATTCGCATATGTATTTAGTTTGCATCTTCATAATCAAATTCTATTTGATAGTAACTCCATTCATTATCAGAACTTTACTACTTCAGACACAAACTATCTGAATTGAAATTAAAAAGCATTTATTCCAAAGTTAACATGAAGAAAAAGTGTGTGTTTCTTGGTGAGCAAACCATAAGCATTATTGGAGAATGCATATATAGCCGAGACTATTCGTAGATTTGTCATTCACTCACCGTTTTTGGGATGACGGATTCGAAATCTATCCAACCCGCAATGTTTTTCTTATTGCCGCATGCTTCCAAGTACTTGTAATAAGGCTGTAGTCCGTGGTCTCGTCCTCTTTGAATGTCAAATGCTAAGACATCGGCATGTGTTGGTTTTGTCGGCTCATGCCACACAATCTGCAAAAAAGGTTGATAATGCTTATCCTCGGTTCAAATGTAAATTAAACAAGAGAACAATTCCAGGGTGGCCGACTAGGGGATACTCTTAGAGCAGATAGTTCGATCTAGTGGAACTGTTCTACTTGTGTTAACTTTGATTGTTGATTACATTGTTGTTACTTACAGCGCCCACGTAGAAGGGATCCATTTTCATGGATCGCTCATGCAGCAGACTCAGCAATATTTCGTTCAGTTTCTTGGAAGTATATTGTAGTTGGGGTCTGTATACTTCATTTTTCAGCTCAAATAGATTTGTAAGCGGAAGAATATTACTAAAAGAAAATTACAAATAAGAACTTTTATATCGGATAATGCATAATACTCATTCAAAAAAAAAAAAAAAAAACAGTGAGTTTATGCTATATCGGTTGGATAAATTCCAAAGGCCTTTTACGAATGGACAGAAGCTTATATGAGATGAATATAGTTTATCTTTATGAATGTTATATGAAATCAATATACAGTTTTAACTCCGGGAACAACTATAGAACTGCAACTCTTACTTATTAGATGGGGCAACTTCGTTCGTGGCGGCCAAGTTGTGGAGTACATTGGGAAGCATTGAGAAATAGAAACGAATGGCAGCCACTGCGAACTCATTAGACACCTCCGGAAGTCTCTCGTCAGGTGATGCTGGGGGCGTGGCAAGTACCTCAGCGGCCGCATCATTGCCCAGTACTTCAGTTAGCCACTCCCTCACAACGATGCGCCGATAAATGTCGATATTTACGGCCTTGGCTGCCTGGAATAATTGTTCATCGCTCCAGTTATTGTGCCGGGTAAGCAGCTCCGCAGCAATGCGATTGTGGTTCCTCATGAAGATCGTGTAGATCAGAATGGAGAGGGGACTGCTGTTGACACGTGAGTCGCCCGCAGTGAAGCAAGTCGTCGAATTGGCACTGCTTTCCCAAGCGCAAAATCTGTGATCCTCATCGTCCGGCGACGTTGGCAACAGGTTTTCGCTCGAGGTGGATTTCAGGGCGCCGTTAGTCAACGTTCGCAGTTTGCGCTCAGCGACGTCAGTGATGCCATAGAGCTGAGAAAGATCCAGGTTGCCAGTAGCTTGGTTCAGCTATGTTTTGTTGAGAGGATGCGGATGAGTGCAGTTACGGGTTTTCGAGAATAGCTACACCTACCTGCTCAGCAGCGCCAAAGGTGCACCTCTCGCCCACAGCAAGCGCGCTTCTCACATAGTTCAGGCAATTGGGCCAGTTATTTTTGTCATTGTATAGAATTGGCGCGCACAGAGGATGGTGGAAGCGGGGCTGTAGATTGTTCTGGTTGCGATTGCAGCATTCAATCGGATATCCATTGCCTGGAGAGTTAATGGAGATAAGCATTCGCTCTGCGACTCTCTTCTCCGGTTTTCGGAACGGGGGTTCTTACTCATCGACTGGGAAACGGGCTTGCTCATGTCGTGCTCCACAAACTGCGCAAACTGTACAAGAACTAAGTTGGAGTGTTTATTGTCGTCAGCGCTAGGGGCTCTTCCTGCTCCAGTTATGGATCGAGAGTCACTATCCCGATCATACAGCGCCATGCTTATAGACCAAGCCCCAGGCAGCTTATCCTCTCCAAACATCTGCAAAGGCAACGACATTTCAATCATCATCTACAGTTTACATTTTAATATATCTCCGCAATACTCGCCTCATGGAAGCCATTCTTGTAGTGGCGCGGGAGCAGGCGCCTAAAGGCGTGATGGCCCGTGCGTGGGCTGTTCAGCAACCGGTTGCACTCGACGCTTAGGGCGCTTCCTTCGGGCAGTGGCTTAGTCGCCAGGAACGTCCAGCACTCGTCTCCGCTGATACCTCTGGGCAGGCACTTGCTGTTATACATAAAGAGACTTCCCTTTAGGATTTTGAGGGCGATTTCACTGTCGAGCGTTGACTGTTCATTCGGTAGAGTGTCCAGCAGCTGGGTGTGTGAGATAGAGCCATTTTTAACTGTGATGTCGGAGCTTAAGAGAGTGTCCTCCAGCCTAAATACAATATATTTCGAAAGTTCTTTAGTTAATTCAAGCTTTATGTCACAATGGTCAGACCACATTGCACAAGCCACTTTCAAGAGCCAAATCTTCTTTATTATCCCCGAAACCAGTAACCTTAATTGCAATACGCAACCTTTTTTGTCTGTTTATTGAATCAACTCCAGACGCTAGAAATTCTGTCCATTCGGTCGGTGATATAGCATTGAGGTAATCCCTCACATCCTTCCGTAAACTGATATCAGCTGCAAGATAATTAAATAAACATTAGAATACTGTTATGATTAGCTTTTATTATTGAAAGCAAATAAAACAGATTATAAGGCAAACGTTTTTAATACAAATTATTTTACTTCTTTATGCATATACATATGCATATGCATGTATATCTTGTGTATTGTATATA